CCCCCCCCCCCCAGTTCTTCCCGCCTTCCTTTCCCGCGCCCGCCAAGCCCATTCAAAAAAAAAAAAAAAAAAGCCGGGAAGGAAGGAGAAACAAACAGAACGTTTATAACCGGCAGGGCGGGAAAGTCCGTTCATTCATTTAATTTGTGCCTTCAGGCTTACGTCATGCCTTCATTGATTTCCCCGGCGCCAATCCGATCGCGCGTCCGCCCGCCCGCCGGCCAATCATCAACGCCCTTAGGAAAGGCGCGCTTTTTTTTTTTGAATCGGCGCTCCTCCTTTCCCTCCCTTCTCTCTTCCGCCCGCCCCGTTTACTCTGGGTGGAATAATAGACAGCCGCGGCAAAGGCAGTAGTAGGACTACTGTTCCCATCTTCCCCAGCCGAGAGCGTCCCGACCATTGTGTGGGATCCAGATTTTTGGGGGGGGCGGCGCTCTGATAAACTTAGAAAGTTTCTTCTCTGTTGCTTGCTCAGAATAGGGGTTGAAATCTGATTTAAAAAGAAAAAAAAATGGAGATTCCCCATTCTTGGAACCCAAACAAATTGGTTTTTCTTTAAAAAAAAAAAAGTTACCCGTGTCACAGAGTATAAAAGAGCTTATACAACTTTTATTCTTTAAAAAAAAAAAACCCTGAACATTTCAAGTAAAAGATCACATTTTTGGGCCTCAAATCAGTACCTTTCTGGTAACACCACTTCAGACATCAACAAATAAATTAACAATATTGTAATAATATGTAAAAAAAAAAGTTAAGTTGTAAATAATTTTTTAAAAAGTCTTCAAAGGTTGAATAAACATTACATTTTGCCAGAAGAATAATTCGGGGTTCCAACTGGAGCCGGGATGGCAACAAGAATAAATACAAATGAGATCCAGAACAGCTGTGAGAAAAGAAAATATTTATTCCTAAAAGCAAAATAACATAACATAATCTGAGTTGGAAGGGACCTTGTAGGTCATCTAGTCCAACCCCCTGCCCAAGCAGGAGACCAAAATAGTTTGGTTGGAGAGAA